ATTATAATTATAAATTTATAATAGAATATAATATAATATTTCTTTAAGGAAAAAGATGAAGTTTAAGAATTTCCTCTATCACGTTTATATATAGCCTAGGCATATGGAACCAATCATACACAGCTTATATAAAGAATCAAAATAATGCCCGCAAACAAAATAAATCTTATTGGTGTAGGATCAAGATAAGTATCAAGATTTTTTGTAGAGTTCACCCATGCATTCTAAATACCCAATTAAGATGGTTAAAGTTTATAATTATGCTAAAAAAAATTATCCCACAAAGAAGAATGCTACATAAAAAATTCATTTATATAAGGTAAACATTGGAACATGATGATATTTGACTTGTCATGAAGAGTACTAAAAGAGGTAAAATATAAAAATGATGCTCATCAGTGAGTATAAAAATGATGCTCATCAGTGAGCTAATATCTGCACCAAGGATAACATTTGACTCACATTTATCAGTAATTCAATTGGATGCTCAAGATTTAGTATTATTAGCCTATACGGTTATCATAAGGATAATTTATTTTTCAGTAAAAATGTTTAAACTTGGATGTTACCCAAGAACGGAGCATAGGAATTATTATTATCAGTTGCTAAGTTTCATTTAGCAAACTGAGCCACCAAATGAAGCATCTCATAGGATGAACAATGTAAAAGCAGATTCCTGTGTGAACAAATGCATGCCCTCGTAATAGCATTGATTTCAGAAAGTTACATGTGGAAGAGACCGCATGATTGCTAGCTGCATGCATTTTCTTTCCTAGTCTTTTTACTTAAATCCATTCTAGACTTTATGTACTTGTTAATTTCTTATATTTTTATCTTCTTAAAATGAATTGGAATAATTAATAAAAAAGGCCAAGGATGCATTTTATGTATCAAAGAATTAGAAGGTTTTAAATAAAAGTCTCTTGATAAATTAAGATTTAAATCTATGCCATCAGTATTGTTTTAAATTGAATCCAACTATGAGTCATAATCATCTTTAAAATCCTTAATTTTACTTAGATACAAAAGTTGGTGGCCATCGAGAATTGAGAGAAAACCCAAATTTTTGGCTCTTTATCAATGCAACTCAAAAGAAAATAACCCCCTCTAATTTTTTTGCACATATTATTTTAATTTGATCTAATTAACATATAGAAGTTCTCACACAAAATTGACAAAAGACGTGGTTGAGTTTTGAAATAATTTTTATTATTTCAAATTTCAGATTTTTTGTCATGTTTTTATTTGAGTAAAATTCTTTTAAGTTCTAATAGTGTTATATATATACATAGAAAAATGATTACCAACCTCAACTCTAAAAAAGTTAGAATCTTAATAATAAATTATTTCATTTTATTGAATTAAAATTTAATTGAAAATTTAAAAAATTTATTTTATTAGATATTAATATTTAGATTTAAAATTTGATTGAATTTTTAAATTTTAAATTGAAATTTCAATTTCTAAATATAAATTAAGATTTCAATTTTTTGAGAATTAAGATTGATATACACTAGTTTCATATATATATATATGGTTCAAACTCCAAGTTTTTATCTTTGTTTTATTTAAGTAAAAGATGTTTAAGTTATTGATAAATTAATTTTATTTTAATGAGAGTATTAATTAGTTCAGGTAATATAATAATAAAAATTAAATATTATTTCACAAATATTATAAACTAATTAATTATCAATATTAATTAATTCTAAATTTATATAAACAATTAAAAAGATGGTAAAATAACAGATACACCATAGCCAGGTCGGATTTCTAACACCCTTTTGCTTATTTCTTTAATTGTTAAATAACAGATCTGGTCCTTTAACTTTTATACAATGAGCACTTTGATCCCTTTATACATGGAGTAGTGCCACATCAACATATGTATCTATGTGGATTAGTGGAAATCCAAAAAAGAAAGGGAGTTAGTCCACTGAGAGATATACCATTTAGCCCATTTGTGAGAAGGGTTTATTTGCATTATTAACGAGTTAAAGGGTTTATTTGCTTCATTTTTAATTTAAGAGCTTAAATGTTATTTTGAGATAAATTTGAAAGCTTAAGAAGGGTTTTTGCTTGAGAATTAAAGACAGATGGTACCAAAAATTTGGATTCATTCTGAGTACACTGAGCATTTTTCGACCTGAACTTTTTCCTACTCCTTGTTCATGCCTTCCACACTAAGATTAAGACGTACAATGTTTCCTTTAGGATTCTGCTCTTGTTCTTTCCTCTTGTTTGTGAATTGGTATTCTTTCCATGGAAAAAGTTCATATATTAATTGAATATTACAATGAAAGAAAAACTAAGTTAATGCTTATTTTAAGTTAATGTTTATTTCTCTTCTTTCTTCTTCTGAACTGAATTTAGATCAATGAAGGTGTTTGGTAAAATTTAAAAAGCATTATTTTTCTCACAAATTTAAAATTTTATTAGAGAGAAATACTTAAAATTAACTATTTAAGTGTATTTTAGACAAATTTCTAAAAAATTATACATCTAAAATTTTTTCAAAACTTAATTAATAGTCACT